TCGATTTCTTTCTCTGACGAAAATATAAAAGTGTATCTGAATATGCTGAGGGAATTCGTCAACGATTTGTGTTACAGTCGCTTTTGGACGAACCGAATCCCAATTCGCCAGCCAACTCTTTAGCGGCGCAATTGTACCAAGAGAACAAGCGAGAGTACGAGAAGCGAGTGGCCACCGTAGTTGAACAGTCTTGGCTGAATTTCCAAGAGAGTCACACGGAGGATCCTCGCTGACATTAAGTATGCCGCTTTTCACGATGTGTAAGAGATCTCTGTCGCAGCTTCTTTGTCCAAAAATAAAAAAGTTGTCCCTGTATTATACATAAATGGCAATTCGGTCGACGTGTTTCATTGGAGCTGTATACGTAATATCCTTCAATACCTCGCGGCGAACATTCCGTGTTGATTCACAGTCTCTGTAGAAAAACATGATGAAAGGAATTCGCACGACTCTCACTGTTGCAAAAAAATATTTAAAAAGAAATTTAAAAAAGTAGGAAACCGGAACGACGTGAAGTTGCACTATAAACGTATGTGATCTTTTACTTATAAGTACGTACATACAATATGTATTGTCTTGCTCTTATAACTAGCCGTTAGGTACCCCTCGCGCAAAAGATACAAAAATAATATCCGTACAATGTTTCGCCATACGTTAATCTTGCAGGCAAATCGACTTACTATTTTACAAGTATAGACGAGCTTGAGGAAAATGCAATTATGCTAAAGAATATGAAAGTTTGTAAGTCGCTTCTGGAAAGTCTACTTTCACCATGTAATGGCGCAAAATATAAGAAAATAGTGTGATTATTTCTCGTTTTCGACTTGGTATTTACCATTAGAAAGTCACGCTTGTATTAGACTGTAAATGAATGTCATATATTGAATAGTATCGAATTAATAAATTTTGCAAGAAAAAAAATGTTTATAAATTCTTTACTGTTTTTCCGTTGTGTTAATACATATATTGATTTAATATAAGAAAAAAATATGTATACGTATACAATTTTTACAGAAATAACGAATTTTAACAAAAGAAACTGGAGCTGTATAAAATTACATTACTATTATAATGGATTCCATCTCCTCTACTATATTTTTGTGAAATGTTTATTTCAATCTCCTGTTATTTTGTAGTTATTTTTACATATTTATTTTTCATTACATATTTTATAATTTCATATTGTATATACAGTTTGTGTATTTTTTGGACTATTTCTTCCGTAAAGATATTACTTGGTTTTTTTATACGCATCCTAATAATCTAATAAATGAGTATTTTATAAATTGATATCAACGAAGAAAATGTATTTGAACATAGACTTTCTGTGACTCATTTATATATATACACGTGTGTATGGGTGTGTGTACAATTGTAAATATATATATAGATACTTATTCATTTTTTTATGAAAATTATAAATATATATATATTATATATTATATATAATATATATAAGTATATATATATATATAATAAATATATATATATATTTATTCATTTAAACAAAAAATATGTCCTCTGATCATAATTCTACAATTAAGAAAGTTATAATTTCACGAAGAAAACAGAAGATATAACGAAGATTTTGATAGATTACAATTCAAATTCACATCTACAGTCGAAATTAAAAACTATCTTACAAAAAATTCAATTAAGAGGCCAATTAAATTTTGTGAAATTTTGTCTTTCATCACCATGTTCTTGCTATGACTTCTCCTCTTTTTCTTTATTATATCTTTCTAGTTCTTTAAGGAATTGCGCCTTGGGTTTCATGACGTTAGGTCTATCACCGCGACACTTGGGACAAAACCATTTACCCTTAGGTTTCGTCGTTAAAGAAACGCAGGAAAAATGAAACCATTCGATGGGACATAGATCGTTGTCACAAAGGATCATCTCGCCGTACGATATCTGATCGCACAGGCAGTAAGTCGGCTCATCAGGATCTATAGCGAGATCATCCTCTGGTGGCGGCGGAGTATCCTCACGATGCTGGTTTTGTTGGTTGCCTTGCCGAGATTTTCGCTTCTTCTTTTTACCAGTAGCCGCCGCTGCTGTCTTTTTCTGATTTCCATTGGTTGTATTGGATAATGTCGAAGACCTTGTTTCTGTCATTCCAGCCATCATGTCCATAGAATGAGCTGATTCTATCAAGGTTTCAGTTCTTGTTCTTCTCGCACGTTTTGGCTGACGTTCCGAGTTGTTTGCATGGCTTGCATTATTCGAATTGTTGTTTATATTTGATTCGCGGACTGATTCTGAGCTTTCTTGTTCCTTTCCAAAGTCTATAAGATAAGAAATTGATATTGATGTCTAGAATTAATCTTTATATCAATTTATTAACGTCAGAAATTTGCAAAATATCATACCTAAATTTCGATAATCTACTTCTAACTGCCTAGATTTATTCTCGATGAGATCTTGTACTTGCTGAACAATCTGTAATTTCTCGTCTCCTATTTCCTGTGCTGCAATCAGAGCTTGTTGTACTTTCATCAATGCCCTTCTTTTCACTATAGGATCTGTGTCATTTCGTAATACCTCTTGTTGCTGATCCACTTCCTGCAGATATGCTGTAAAATAAAATCAAGATATGGTAACAATTATATCAACTACGCTATAGAGTTATAATAATGATCTCAAGAAACAATGGTCGCGTTCAGCAGACTCAACTGTTGCGGAGCGGATAAGTGAGCTCTCGCTGCTATTGGATGATCTAAAAAAATAATAGCAGCGAGCGCTCATGGATCCACTCTACAACATTTGAGTCTGCTGAACGCGACCAATGTTAAAAATGTGATCAAAATCCCAAATAAAATGCAATACAATCTTTTTATTTCTCACAATTGAAAGGTCTCCTCACAGATTTCAATACTGTTGCTGATATTATTTTTCTAAATTTGAATAACACAAAAGTTCAAGAAACAGTCCAAGGAAATTTGAATTATTTCGAACAACTTTTGTCGTGTTGTTTAAAGAATGTTATATTTATAAATCATACTAATATTGTATAAAACTATCAGAGATCACTGCAAATTGTAAATTTGCAATCCAGTATATGTCTATTGAAAAAAAGCAACGTGGAAAATCTATTAGAAAATTGCAAGAAACGAGTATTGTTGAACTCCAAGATTGTGCTTCAAAAGAACTTTCAAAATTTGATCGAACTTACTTTGACAAGTGGCATCCAGCTCTCGTAGTCGGGAGACGTGCCTCTGCAAGTCATTCGGCAGATTTTCCACGCAATCCAAATAGTTTTCGATATAAGTCGCCGAATAAAGTGCTTCGACCACTGCCTGATTTAACATCGCCGCGCCGCCGTTCCCTTCCTTTTTCCTTCGGACCTTTTCAGCGATGCACAACAAACCAAAGTAACAGCCGGGCCCTCAAACTCCCATGTATTGAAATTGACCCTCCCCCTCCCCCTCGCCCCGCACTTCTTTCCCCTCACTCGCCGCCGGCCATCTTTAGTTTGTAGTGCCATCTGATGTGAGTCCGACGAAAAGGAGGAACTAAAAGTCAATATGGCGTTAACCCGCCATATCATTTAAATATGTGTCTACTGCAACAAGAAGAAAATATAAGAAACATTTAAAATGAGAGAAATAAAGTGCAACTCGACTGTTTGAAAAATTCATAATTTATTTAATATATGTATTAAAAGTATTATTTACATGTTAATTTCTTTTTTCTATATCTTAATGAAATTTTTTTGACTTCGTTATACATCGTAAAATTAGAATAATTTTGTTGCTGTATTTGAATACAAAGTATCTTATTTATAAACTTACATCATTCTGTTATAAACTGTCGTGCAGTTTTGCGTATTATCTTCTGTCATATTTATAAACGGGGTTGCAGTATTTTTTAATATTCAAAATTTTAGAGAACGGCTATAGTCGCTTTAAAAAAAATGTTTATGACATATCCGTAACTTGTGGATTTCGGGTTCACTTATTACGTTCATATGCAGTTTTTCAAATTACTGCATACGTTGTCTGACATTTTTTGGAAATCTATGAGACAGAACTTTCGTTCCGGATTAGCATCCAGGAACACACAATACGCTTTCTTATATTTTATCCAATCCTTAAGATGAAAAATATATAGGTATAGGGTGAGTACAAAAATTCGTGCCCAATTTATTATTCAAAGTTCAAACACCGGCAATTTTATTAAAAATGAACGTAATTTAAATTTAAAAAAAGGATTTTAAAGCTTGAAATCTTTATTTTCGAATGATTACTATATTTTTTTAATTTATGAGAGTTTTATAATTTTTACATATAGAAAACTACGAGTTAAAAAAAACGGGAAATTTTTTCATTTTGTGGACCTATCATATGTCCAAAAAAAATTGCAAAAATTTTTAAATTTCTAATGTAAAAGCAGAGAGTAACCTAAGAGCGGTCATCCCGACTTTTTTCCTGTAATGCTTCTAACCCCCTGTGGCAGCATGTGCATGCCGACCGTCCCTGCCAATCACGACTCTCCGTGCCTAGGAATGTACGACGTGCAAACTAAGTAAGCCACCATAGGAGGTTTGTCGCGTTGCATGTTCCAACATGTTCCAACATGCTCCTACTATAGCTCTTACTCACTCCAACGCGCTTGATAGAGTGAGTAGAGCTGGTTCTACATTGATCGCAGCGTCGCAAGCGTTGCAGTCCAATCAGAGTCGAGCTAGCTTGACGTTGATTGGACCGCAACGCTTGCGACGCTGCGATGCGATTATGCTGGATTCACACTGCATCCGATTTTCGTCGTACGACGAAAATCGGATGCAGTGTGAATCCAGCATTAATGTAGAACCAGTTTATGAACTAGGGGCTATGATAGGAGCATGTTGGAGCATGTTGGAGCTTGCAACGCGACAAACCTAGGATCTCTAATGTCCCCCACTCTTTACCGCCATTATGCGCAATAGCTCACCCTCACCCTTGTTTCTTTCCACCATGTCTCGACGCTTGCATTTTAATGGCACCTACAGACTATAGACATCTGTGTACTAGCGTCAAAGAAGTGAAGTTGAGTTTGTCTTAACAGTCAGCGTCGTCACTGGGTCTTTGTTAATCATCTTGATTCAAAATAAAAAATGGACTCTGACGTACGTAAAATATTAATTTTTACATCTTCTATATTTTGCGATCTTCAATAGTATCGTACAAACCAAATAATATATCTTAAATATACATATATTATAACCTTTCAATTTTACAACTACTGAAAGATTATAATTAGTTAAAATTTGAAAGTTAGGGGTAACAAATATACAATAACAATACTAACAAAGTATTTTAGAAATATTTGTAGTATCAAATTGATTGTATTTTTCAGGATGAATCCCTCAATCTCGTACAAACATGCGGGTTATGTGAAATGATCTGCGAGCAAGCAGATATCGGGAAGCATGCTTGTTTAAAAGGCTATACACAATACATCACTGAACCTGATACATTATATTTTTATCCTTTATTAGGTAAATTAGCTCCTATAACTGTTATATATTAAGAGCTAGACGTTTTATTATATTTATTATTTAATATTTATTTATATTTATTATTTAATTTAATACATATTATTATTTAATATTTTGCAGATGATGGAGTGACCGCAGTAAAAAACAAAGTGTCAAACATAAATAAAAAACAAATAGTAACAAGGCAATCATACAAGAAAAATACAGGTAATAAACTTGATAATTGTACTAAAATATTGTGAAAACTTTTTTTATTGTTTCTAATGTATTTAAATTTTATATTTAGATTTGGTTACGACGATAGACTTATCTGAGCAAAATTCTTGTGAGAAACGAAGAAATTCAGATGAAGGCTTAAAAACAAAACTTAATCATGATGATGAAAAATCTCTCATTTTAGCGGTCCACTTACGAGAACCTCTTTGGAATTATAAACTTCCATTATCACAACGTAACATAAAAATTACAAGAAATTTATGGGAAGAAGTAGCAAATGTTTTAAATGGGAAAATGACAGCCAATGAAGCTAAAACAAAATTTAAAAGCTTACATGATACATACCGACGAATAATTAGATTAGAAACTAGCGCCAGTGGATCTGCTCGAAAAAATGGAAAGAAATGGCTTCATTACGATTCAATGGAATTTTTACGGGATTCTTGCTTGTTGAAAACGTAAGAATTATATATTTTATATAAATGTCAAAAATATTATATTTGATATAATCTATGATAATTTTAATATTTACAGCACCGTGAGTAATATTGATATAGATGATTTTGAAGATAATGGTGAAAACATTGAATCAAGTATGTATTGATTGAACATAAAATGTATTCTTTAATATTGTACAAATATTATATTAAATATTATATTAAACTATAAATATAAAAGAACATAAAACTCAATTTTCTTACTATTAGTGAATATTAGAACACATTAATGTGACTTATTGATTATAATATTTACTCTTTTTAGATAATGGGCCCAACAGTAAAAAACAGAAGAGTAATTTGGAGAAGTCTGTCAGCGCAATAGACAAAATTGCAAACGCATTGTGCGACAATAACGACATATCTATTAATCTTCCGCCTATTCCAGTTCCAGATGAAATCGAAGCTTTTTTGTCAATGTTAGGATGCCAGCTGCGAGAATTGCCGTTACGTAAACGGCGAGAAATAATGAAAAAATTTTTAGATATAATGTACGATGTTTTGGTAAGACAGCCGTAATTTTTATTTATTATTAGAGTAAAAAGACTCGTATAATTGCTGGACAAATTAAACAGACTCATGGCTTATTTCGAGCTTATAAATAGACGACTTTAAATATCGTAATAAATTAAAATAAGATAAATTAAGATAAAACAAAAAATTCAGTGTAAAATTCGAAATACAAACATTCGTTTATAATACAAAGTAATTGAAATACAAAGTTTTGGCTTACAAAGCCTTCTTCAGTGATTACAATGTCAAAACTTCAGTCGGAAGATTATGTTCACATAAAGTCTATGAATGAAAAAGTTTTGCCAAATTCCTCGGTTGATAGTTTTATTGATATTATTAAATACCTTAAATTTATAAAGTTTGTAAATTAAAGTTTATAAATATTAACAGTAATCAAATTGCCATGGTACAGCTCCCTCATTGTTAAAATATTGACAAAATTCTTCTCGAATTCGTTTAGCTTGACGACTACTGTTATTAGTACCACATTTAGTTATGTCACGAAGTGCACTTGCTTCAGTGTGTTTTCTCCAAGAACCAGGAATGAAACCATTTGGACCATCTTGATCGATCATTGATGAAGGTACGTATTGATTTTCCTCAACATCTTGTAAGCGAAGCCAATTGTGAAGACATATTATTGCTTGAACTATTCTCATTGTTTTTTTAACATCACAAATGATTGGTTGCCTTAAAATTTTCCATATATTCACTAAAACGCCAAAAGTATTTTCAATTGTCCTTCTAGCACGACTAAGACGATAATTAAAAATTATTTTATCTTGAGTTAGATTTTCTCTTCCTGGATAAGGTCGAAGTAAGTAATCTGATAATTGAAACGCTTCATCTCCCACAAGCACGTAGGGTAAAGATTGTCCATCCGATGTAATAGGTTCTGGTTCTGGTAAATTCATTTGTTTATTATGAAAAGATTGTCCAATCACGGAATGTGTAAAGATGCCACCGTCACTGCGTTGACCGTAAGCTCCAATGTCCACAAATGTAAAAATGTACTTTGCATTACATATTCCAAGCAAAACAATGCTGTGATTATTTTTGTAATTGAAACATGATGAATCCGAATCATTAGGACACTGAAAAAATAAATAGCTATTTAGTTTTTATATTTATAATATTTAACTCGTATTAACAATGCAATACATAATATTATACCTGTATCAAAATATGTTTTACATCAATTGCTCCGACACAATGTTTGAAATTCCATAATTCTTCAAAATCATGTCCAATATTTAACCAATCTTCTTTTGTTAAAGAAGATGGAAGTACTTGCTGTTGAAGAGTATTCCATATAGCATTACATGTTTCTTCAATAATGTTACTCACAGTTGTCAAGCCAATGAGATACTGATAAGACATAGAAGTCATAGAATCACCAGATGCCAAAAATCTGTGCAATAAAAATTGTAATTAATTTATTAATACATTTAAGAACAAAAGCAAATAATATAATTAAATAATTTTGGGACTAACCTTATTGTCATTGATAATCGTTTTTCGACAGAAATTGGCTCTTGAATCATCGGTTGTTTAGTGATTTGAGGAGCAATTAAAAGTAATAATTCTTCAAATTGCGTTGCCGTCATGCGAAAATAGTTTCTAAATTGACTTTCGTGTAATGACACGACTGGAAAAATTGCGTCATGAAAGTCATGAGTGCGGCGTTTTTGAAATATTGGTTCAATCCGAAAGAGTTTTTCATGGCAATCTTTTTCTATTTCTTTTTGTAATTCGCGAATTGCTAATATTGCAAGTATTTTCTTTCGCTTATTTTCTAGTTTTTTTTTGTTAATGATTGTCGTACACTTATTTAGCCATGCATAATATTTATATGTAAACATTTTCAATATTAATACAAGTATACTACATTAATGCTCGTCACTTTTTGATGCGTGATCTGGAAAAAATTATAGGTTTTTTAGCTGAGCTAATTTAAAGTTTATCTTCCTCCCTTCATATTAAAAGGAGAAAGAATAATTTTAAATAGAAAGATAAATTCTGATTTTACTATTCCATGTATACATATGATATAGGGAGTAAAAACGTCAAATTTATGAAAACAAAAATGTGGAAGATAATACTTGCCACTGTAAACTACACCTAGGCTGCGTTCGGAAACTTCATCCGAGTGTACTCGGGTGAGCTCACGCCGTTCGGAAACGTTCGGGTTGTACAGTTCGCGCAATTAATGCCTTCCCAGCCTATGGCTACGACGAAGCAAAATTCATCGGAATCCTGTTTTCTAATCGGATGCAGTGTGAATCCAGCATATGGATTCCGCTCATACTACAGTTCGCGTAATTAATGCCTTCCCAGCCTATAACACGTCCACTGGTGAGACATCGCGTTTACACTCTGGCTATATTCCAAATTTACTGCCAGCACAGAAAATGCTACAGTTTACGTTACGTGCACTATAGATTTTCAGTACTGGCAGTCAATTTTGGAACACAGCCTCTATCAAGCGCGTTGGAGAAAATGGATGCTTGATATGCTGGATTCACCCTGCATCCGATTTTCGTCGTACGATGCTCTGCATTCAATCAGAAAACAGGATTCCGATGATACGAAGCAAAATTCATCGGAATCCTGTTTTCTGATTGGTTGCAGAGGGTCGTACGATGCCTGTGGCTATTGTGTTTCCAGCTTTATCGTTTTGTTTTATATGACAAAGCATAGTAAATAGCAATCTATTTGCGTTGCTTGCACTTTTTGCACTCAGCATCCTCGATTTTTCTCTTTCAACGTCCGAATATATTTTTATCTTAAATTATTTTAAGTGCAAGACTTTTTGGAGATTTCAAACAACGCGAACAACAAATCTATAGGTATTATCATTAGCTGCGTTCAGCAGAGAAAACTAATCAGTGCTTAGTGATTCTTTAATACGATTTGTTCCTACGCTTAGATTTTGCGAAGAATTAAAGGCAAGAACCAATCATATTAAAGAATCACTAAGCGCTAGCTACTAGCGTTTCCGGCACCAACCTGGGTTGGATTAATCTTTCCTATTAGTTGACGTTACACGCTCTACCAATAGAAGAGCACAAAACGCCATTAATCCAATCCAGGTTGGTGCAAATCCGGCAATTAATTTTCTTTGTTGAACGCGGCCTTCGTCCGGATGCTCGATTTAGCCGCTGCACTGACTAGCGGTATGACGTCACTCGCGATCGCAGCGCGGGCGTCCAGTCCAATCGCGCGTCGCGACAGCATTTGATTTCCGAACGGCTGAAGGGAGGGGAGAGTCCTGGCTTGGCTCATCCGGGATCCGGCAGAGTTTGGCAGAGTTCGGTCGGTAGTGCCGCAAATTCTCGACGAATCTTCGTTGTCAGGCCTTTGTGCAGAAACTCGTTCTCGCCTCCAAGATGACGTCGACCAACACGTACCAAGGCCTCGCCGAGAGCCGTAAATCTAGCAAGTGAGTACCCGTCATTATTCGTGGTTTCTCTCGAGCCGGCGAAACTACCCTTCATACATCGCTCGTCGGTTGTTGTTTGCGAGGGAACGAGCTCGTCGGTGAGCGGAACGCGCGACGCGACGTCTCGCTCGCCAACTTTTATTAGCGCCGTACATCAGTATGCTTTGTTTTAAATAACAATTCGCACGCCACAAGAGTTCGCTTAATGATGAATACAGACTCTTATGGCCTTTATTTTGAGCTTTATCACGGCCAAGAATCGATTTTATACAACTAAAAAACCACTTTTTATTTTTATTTTATATCTTTAATCACGATTTATATTCCGTTAATAAACTCGTGAAGAAGTTCGCGAAATTAACGACAGATTGCGTGCCAGGATTGGTAAAAAAACATGTTTTAAACGTGTTTTAAACAGTTTAAAACATGCTTAGTTGATGTTTTTAATATGGTTTAAATGTTTTTTTTATAGTACTGTTTAAAGCATATTTAAGGCATTAGAAACATATTTAAGAAGAAACAGTATGTTTTATTCTTTAAAAAAAAAAAAAAAAAAACATTTGTCTTTACCAATCCTGTTGGTATTAAAAAGGTAGAACAAAGATTATTAGTAGAGTAATTAGACTTTTATAATCATTTAATAAAGAAACTTTAATGAATTGAGAGATTACAATATGATTTTTGAATGCAAAAGATAAATTAGTAAATGCATTTTATTACTACAATAAAATGAATGTCAATATCAATGTTGAACGAGCAAAATAATGAAAGCAACAGAATAATTTAACTTCGATTTATAAAAACGGATTCGGTTATAATTTACTTTACATCCGTCGTCCCTTATAATTATTCGATTATATAAAAATATATCAAACACGTCCTGTATGTCGCGTAGTACAAAATATTTTTTATTTCTATTCTATCTACTACAACCTTTTAAATCTAATTACTTATCCTTACTTTCTTTTTTTTTTTATTACTACTTATTGCTCGCTATCTATTTCTTATATGCAAAGTTCTAGACGTTTTATTCTTTCTTCTTACATCCTTTTACTTTTAATTCTGTTTTTCTCACTTATCGTACATCCTTGAATTTATCTCTCCTTGTTTCTCATGTATTCTTTTTCTTTCTCTCCCCGCAACTTCCGCAGTATATGTATTTTCCTTAATTGTATTTGAATTATAATCTCATATATCTTTCCTCATTTTTCTTATTGCTATCTAATTCTTCAAACCAATCTCTTGTTCTATGACATTTTAACGAAGATAATATCATTTTGTCAAATAAGAATTAGTTATAAAAATTATTATAAATTAACATTTTTGACGCTGAAACTGGCCGCCGCAGCCAGTCGCCGATCAGGGCCGAATAGGCGGCGCGTGCGGGCCCTCGACGGAAATTTTTATTCTCGTGCTCGTGAACCGTTTAAAACGTTGAAAAAATTATTTACCGAACTCTAAAAATAAAGTATGAGTTGAATAAAGCAGACTGCGTTATTACAACATTTTAAATAATTATTTAATAACTCGAATGGGGCGGCTTTTTGACAAAACTACTAACAGCAGTTCCTTTGCACTTCGTAAGGAGGTTCAAATGAATTTTTTCCAATAGACGAGATCATAATCAATCGATCGATATCGATCAGA